AAAAGGAATGAGTGTGATGTGTGTGGTGTGTGGTGTGTGGTGTGTATGTGTGTGTGTGTGTGTGTGTGTGTGTGTGTGTACAGGGGTTTAGAAGGACACCCGCTTGTGGGGAGGGGGAGGCGGGAAGGGAAACCAGGCTCGCGTGCACGAGAGGAGGAGCGGTGGCAACTCTGAGCTCAGAGGTCCCAGCCTCTTCGTCCCGCGCTCCTGGCACAAGAGGCGCCGGGCTCCTCAGGGGGCGGGGCGGATGCCACCCCCGACCCCCAGCCACTGCCCCGCGCTTTGAGCAGCTGGAGGCGGCGGACGTGGGCCAGGTCTTCAAGATCCGGCTCGGCCACACGGGCGAGGGCTTGAGCCCCAGCTGGTTCGTGGACGCCGTGTGGCTGCGGCGCGCTGCAGTGCGGGAGGAGGACCTTACGCCCGAGGACGAGGCGCGCAGGAAGAAGGAGAAGGACAAGTTGCGGCAGCTGCTCGAAAAGGAGCGTCTGAAGGCCAAGCTGCAGAGGAGGAGGAGGAGGAAGGGCAGCGACGAGGGGGACGAGGGGGACGAGGGGGAGGAGTCCTCGGAGGAGGAGGAGGGCGCGGAGACCGAGGAGGAGGAGGAGGAGCAGTTCGGACCCGGCATGCAGGAGGTGATCGAGGAGTACAAGTTCGACGCCCGCCGCTGGCTGGCCCGGGGCAAGGAGGACAATGAACTTGTCGTGGAGCTGGTGCCCGCAGGCCGAGAGGGTCCTGAGCGTAAGCCTGAGGAGGTGTCAGACGGTCCCCTGGGGGGCGGCCCAGGGAGGGGGAGGGTGCCCGGCTCTCCTCTCACGTGGGGCGCCCATGGCTCTCCTCACCTGCCCTCTGCTGAAATGCCTCCACGGACAGTTCTTTGCTGGGGTTGGCATTGCCCTTGTCCTGAGACTCTTGGAAGGAGCCCTGGTATAACTCGCTGTGACTCCACGTGGGGGACATCGGTAGGAGGGTTGCTGACTGTGAGTTTTGCCAGGACTCTCAGCCTCTCGGGCTTCAGGGCAAAGAGAAGTCTTGGGTAGGGAGGAGGGACGGGTTCAAGTCTAGGTTAATGTAGATGCGAGTGTACCCGGAGGTCCTTCCTGCTCCCACCATCTGGCTAGATCAGAGGGGTTGAGCCTCAGGTCCACCCCGAGGCCCAGGTGTCCTCAACACTGTGTGTTTTGTGTCCGCAGCCAACACCTACGAGGTCCAGGTGATCACGGGGAGTGTGCCCAAGGCCGGCACCGATGCCAATGTCTTCCTGACCATCTATGGGGAGGAATATGGGGACACGGGAGAGCGGCCCCTAAAGAAGTCGGACAAGTCCAACAAGTTTGAGCAGGGGCAGGTAGGGCTCGGGCTCTCTGACCCCAGGCTGTGGTGGGACCCAGATGGAGAGAGCCCTCTGGTGATTCCTGAGGCAGCTCCACCCAGCACAGCACTGCTGTGTCCAGTGGTGTGCTCTGTTCAATCCAGCCAGGTAGAATGGAAGTGCCTCTTCTGTAAGCACCGGCGCTTTGTGGTGGGGACCTAAGAAAGGCACAGGTGGGGATCAGTGCCAGGAAGCCCACAGCAACTAACTGGAGATAGTATAGGTAGCAGATGCTCAGGTGCTGAGTGAGTGGGGCAGGGGTTCGAGGAGGAAGTGCTGACCATAAGATGGTGCTTTGGGGGGAACTTAGTGAGAAGGAGGGATGTGACCTGGGCCGTGGTGGGTGACTATGGTGTCCATGTCTAAAGATGGCAGTGAGAGAGGTGTTCTCTGAAGATGTGACCGCATGACAAAGACGTGGGAGTGGAAGTGTGGAAGGCCAGTTGGAGGACAGTGGGTCTTCTCGCTATGCTGTGGTTGATGCCAAGCCATGGTGGGCGCTGCCTCTGGGAAGCTTGAAGGGACCAATTTAAGGGGTGAGGGCATGAGAGCCTTGAAGGACAGGCTGAGAAGCCCGACCTGCATCCTGAGGCAGTGACGCCACGAAGGCTTTTGAGCACTTAGAGAAATGCATACCTCTCCCTCTTCTAGGTATAGTAGGAAAAACATGGAAAAATACATCTGTCATTCTTGTCCTTTGAGATTTTACTACATCCTCTGGCTAGACTGTCTCTCATCTCACCTTTCCCATTTCTGCCCCCATCCCAAAGCCAGATTCCCTTATCAACACAGAGGAAAACCAGAAATAAACCAAATCCATTAAAAATACTTCTGGGCTCATTGCTTGATTTATTTCAGATATCCCCTGCTTTTTCCTTCAACACTGCCTTCCCATGACCTGAGAATCAGGATTTATTTCTGTGTTTCAGTACTTTCCTTTAAAAATTATAGCCACTATGATGGCTGGAATTGGAAGAAAATTGCTATAGAGGGTGTAACTGGTACAGCTGATTGAAATTTGAATAGGGACCATATGTTAGATAATAGTGTGTTGACTTTAAGTTTCCTGAATTTGGTCATTGTACTCTGATTATATGAGAATGTCCTTGTTCTTAGAAAATCTAGGTTGAAGAATTTGAGTGGAGGATCATGACATCTGCCATACACTTTCAAATGATTCAGAAAAAAAATAGAGAAAGGGCAACAGAGTGTGGGAGAGAAAGCAAACGTTGCAAAATCTAAGTGAAGGGTATACAAAATTTCAATGGGTCCTGGTATCATCTGCTTCCTCCAAGTGCGTATGTGTATACTTGTATCGTACACGGTCTATCTTCTCACCTGAATGGTGAGCAATCCAAGTCTTACACTCCGAATTCTGTCAGTCACTTTACATTTGCACTTTGGCTTATAGTAGGTACTTAATTAAAATTTATGGTTGAAGGAGTTTATGCACGTATGTGCACACGCAGCACGTGGTCTCAGCACACACCCAAGCAACAGGTCGTACACACACACACACACACACACACACACACTCCCCATAACACAACTGGGAGCACCCAGCCAACCTGTTTTCTCTTCTATTCCTCTCTTATGGTCACCTTCGTCACCCTCCTACTCCTCCCTCCACCTTGTGGGACACAGTGAAAGTGAGACCTCCCTGGCAGGGGCAGGTGTAAAGACAATAGTGCAATAGGTGAAGGGAATTAAGAGTTGCAAACTTCCAGCTATAAAATAAGTAAGTCACAGGAATGGAATGTACACATAAGGAATATAGTCAATAATGTTGTAATAACGATGGTAACTGGTCTTTATGTGGTGATCATTCCATAATGTATAAAAACATCAAAACACTATGTTGTACACCTGAAACTAATATAATATTGTATATTAATGGTAACTCAATGAAAAAAAACAAAAACCAATAGAGTAGACCGAACACCAGACAACTGACTACATTTTCCATTCCCCCTTCCCCCTGATGCTTTGGGTCTCACAGCCGGTCTCAGGCTGCCCCAGGTCCTGGGAAGGTGAAGCTGATGGCAAGGTGGGGAGGGCTGCCCCACAGTGTGCTACTCTGACCCTTCCCAGACAGACACCTTCACCATCTACGCCATTGACCTTGGCCCCCTGACCAAGATTCGGATTCGCCATGACAACTCGGGCAACAGACCAGGCTGGTTCCTGGACAGAATAGACATCATTGACATGAAAAACGAGATCACGTGAGTGGGACTGGAGGGGAGGAAGGGAAGACCATGCCTGCCACTAAGTAGTCATGGAAAAAAGGGTGGGAGTGGGGTGGCTGTGATGGGTGAGGGTGGGGCTAGGGTGGCTGTGGCAGGTGAGGTTGGGAGTGGGGTGGCTGTGGCAGG